AACACATACACAGACAACCCCGTAACAATATGCGTTTTGTACTGCTGTTACATAGCACAAAACGCATAAAAATGAAGGGGAGAAAAACGGAGTGGAAAAACGAAAGGGAAAAAGGGGAATGGGAGTATGAAAATATTTATAATAGGTAAGAAATGTTTCGATTCATTAAGTCGTATACATTTCTTACCGTTACCACAACTGGACTTCATCAGTACGGCGACTGTGGTAACAAAGGTAATTTTGATGGTTTAATCTCGAGCTGTAGCCTCTTGTTTAGGCTTGTAAATTAATGCATTAATCTTCTACTGTGTTCCTCTCGTCCTTTATTTCTAACCAAACGCCTAACACTTATGCATGCCTTGTTTGATGAATAAGTTCCCCATGTATTCTGTAACAGCAACCAACTTTTGGCGCATAAAAGGTGATGGTGTGCTACTGGTTGAGCTCGGCATTGCAAGTTATGCCAATAAATAAGCAAACGGCGTGAGGGCTCGATTCCCTCTACGATTTTTCGTTCGTTAAACGTCAAATATGGAGAATTTTGTTAAAAAAAAGTGACTCCTTCTGACCACCATAAAGCTAAAACGCTAAAAATCAAAGATGTTCAAAACCAGATAACCTAACACACTTTTCTTTATATGATAACGTATTTTGCCTCAAAAATATCATTATTTGCTCTCAAATTATGCCTTCTGAACCCTCCTGAAGCGATGAAAAAAACGAGCCTAGCTGGTGCGAAGAAACTGGTAACTTGATAGCCAAAACTTGCATAGTAAACATGCTCCATAACTGCCATTAGCTGGATCGCATTGTAGCCTGAAAAGCAAACGTTCAATGCCAGTAGAAGGAAAAGCCGGATCGAAAGATATGGAGCAATTCGTTTAGAAAACGCAAGAATATCATCTACACAGTTTATTCATGTTCTTAGCCTAAAGTTACAATATTTTAAGCCAGAACGAAAAGCCGGTTTAAATTCTGCTACTGGATTTTGACAATTATAGGCGGGCCCAGGGGGAGGGGACAGGCCTTTAACCCCTCCCTCTCTCCACCGGGACAGGTACCAGTGCTACAAAAGTCTGAGTCTGAAGCTAAAACTGAAGAAAACTCTCTTCCACACCAACCCCTGCCCCCCCCCCTCC